TCAGACAGAGCTCTTGGGTCAAGCTGAACCTCATCGATATCAAAGTTGTTATGAATAGGCCAGTCATGCTCCGAGAACTGACAATCATGATACCTGAAGGAAACACAGGCATTACTCTACGTGGTGACTTCATTTTCAAATGCACAGTGTGCTCTCTGTGGAAGTATTGAGTGCTTTTTGTTTGGCTTCGTTTTTAAGAGCGAGAGTCTCACTGTACAGCCAGGCTGACCTCACACTTGTGATCATCCTGTCTCAACTTCCCCAGTACTGGAGTAGAGGTGAATGCTGCCACACCCAGCTCTGAGTTGTAAAAGCTGTGCAGGGTCTGGGGGGTTGGGGGGGTAAGAGAAGAGAAGCTAGGAGCAGTCCCTCCCTCCCATCAGAATCTATCATCTCCATCTGGAAGCCGTGCTACTGATTAAAACAGCAGAAGGCAGCATCTGGCGGTTGCCAACAGAGCTCCAGTTTCATCAGGAAGTCAGGACTTCCACTGAGCTGGGTTGCCACTTCTCACCTCCTGTGCTCCCTCTTCTCCTCTCCTCCACAGGTAATTACCTAGGAGGCTGGCACAGCTGTAATTTAATCCCACCAGTTTCCCATTAACACTTTATGCCCAAATTCTGTACATCTAACAGTGAGCAGGTACTTTCCTAGTCTTGGTTCCACTGGTAATGAGGTAGCTGAGTAATGGGGAAGGCTTACTGGAGTCTCCCATCAGCCCCACCCGTGTGTGCTGTTTCTGTTTACTGACAAAGCACAGCAGGGCAACTATACCACACCCAAAGGGAGGAGACTGACACACCAACAGAGGCTGGAGAATGGGAAGGAGTCAACGGAGATGTCGACTTCAGTATACTTAGGAGAACGCACAGGTCAAAAAAAACCCCGGGTATATGAGACCTGTACTTAGGGACAGAAAATGACAGCTAGCAGATGGGGTGAGTATGCACACACCCTGACATTTACTTAAGAAACAAAAAATACTGCTTTAACTACTTCTGTTTCGTTTGGCATGGGTCAAGACAGGGTACTGCCCTACAGCCAGGGTGGCACCTACCTCTCCAGCTTCCAGGCAGGTGCCACTAGCTTCAGCTTGACCACTTCTTTCCAAACATAAAAACTTAAATCTCATTTGTGATTCTCAGTCCTGGCTACACATCAAACCCCTGGAGACCTTGACTCTCCGGGGTTGTTAGGGGTGTACCCCACTGAAAGTGCACACAGCGACACATCTCCAGGAGTTAGAAACACAAAGGAGGCGGAAGAAAGCAGACCGCACGCACTCCAGTGATGTCACCATTCTGTTTGCAGACCAGACCCGTCCCCCTCTCACTGAACCTACTCTAGGTTTGCTTTTATGTCACCTGGAAACAAATTCAACTGCCACATGGACAGGAATCAGACACTGGGTCACCTCACCAGGTAAGGTCGAGTCTTGAGATTCAGAGCTAAAATGCAGGTTTATCACAGATGAAAAAGCATTAGGTGTGTAATTAAATGATTTTTAAAAATTGAATGACTTTATAAAATTAGTTTTAAATCATTCAGATTTTCAACCATCTTAAAATCTTAATTAGCATGCTTTAATGACTGCTTAAGACAGCACTGTTATCACCATTTCCTCACCAGTACCTAGTGCTGAATTCCATAAAATCTAGTTAAAGACAGTGACTTAACAAACCCTTTAAAATTTTAGGACATCTATAAACATAAGCATACAGTATACAACATATGGTACACTGAAAATTCAATAAATGTTTTTCTAACTTAGGATGAATTTACCTTTCCCAGTTATAAATGTGACTGTGTGTTTCATCCATAAGTAGAATATCATCCACTTCATCTTCTATGTGAAAAGGATGGCTGGAAATTGGCTCATCCGTTGGAAAAGAGTAGATGCTCATGTAAGGATGGGAAAGCGCTTCCTCTGCTGTTAGCCGGTCCATGGGGCTGAAGGTCAGAATCTGTTCCAGGAAATCCAGTGCTAAGGGGAAGAGGAAAGGTTTACAAAACAGCCTGTTCATCTGAAGAAAAACTGAAAACGTTAGTTTCATTTAATTCAATGTGCATAGCTGGGCACGATGGTGGAAATTTTGGTGGGGTTTGTGGGGGGAGCTTTTTTGAAACAGTGTTTCTTTGTGTAGCCTTGCCTGGCTGTCCTAGAACTCACTTTGTAGACCAGGGTGGCCTTGAGCTAAGAGATCCCCCTGCCTCTGCCTCCCAAGTGTTAGGATTAAAGGCGTGTGTCATTGACCCCCCTAATTCTGACACCTCGATGTATCTGACTACCATGCGTGCATGTACATTAAGTGTACATACTCAGTATGATGCTAGGGGTCAAAAAGAAGGCCTGAGCACTCTAGGCAAGTGGTCTACTACTGAGCCAAACTCAGATCTAAGTATCTTTCCCTTTTCTCAAGAAAAGGTTATCTTATTACAGAGAACTACAAAAGTTGAAAACTTTTGATCAAGCATGTCACTCCATTGAAATGAGAAACGAACTAACTTAGTAGTTGATGTAGAGACTTCAATATTCAAGACTGCACAAACTCTTACATCTAGCACTTCATACTTCGAATATTAACCCACAACTCTTACATACTTTGTTCATTTGGATCAATACTTGGGCAAACACTATTTCTGCTTGCATCTTGCTCTTCCTTGCCATGAAGATCTCTGCCTTCTCCCGACTACTCTTCTCTTTCCTATCTAAATTTAGCCAGTGAGATGGCCAAGGAGTAAAGACAGCTCATGTGCTTGCCGCCAAGCCCAACAACCCAAGTTTGATCCCCTGGACTCTTGCGGTGAAAGCTGACAGCCCCATTCTTCTTACAAATTGTCCTCTGACCTCCACACATGTATCTTTGCACACATACACACAGTGTAAACTTTTTTGAAGATTCAAGTAGTTGTTTGCTTTTATTTTAGAATATGGATGTCTGTGTGTGACGTGCATGCCTGATGCCCGTGGAGGTCAGAAGAAAAGGCATAAGATCTCTTGGAACTGAAGTTACAGTTATAGGCCACCATGTGGGTGCTGGAAATTGAACCTGGGTCCTCTGGAAAAACAGCCAGTGCTATAAACCACTAATCCATCTCTACAGCCCCATGAAATTATGTTTTAATACAGAAAACAATGAGTCATATTCAAAGGCATACCTGATCAGTGTCTAACACTCACAGAACTCCACTGCAGTTAACTGAGACCCAGTCATTCGATATGCTTACCCACAGTAGGTGGGAAGATAAATTAGAAAATGGGATTAGAATCAGCAGATGGGGTATGTTTTCTTAACTCCAGGAAAGCCAAGACACAGACTATAGTCAAAAGGGGAATGCCAGAGTTTAAGGCCTGGGTCCACCTGAAGACTGGGAAAACACACACCTCAAGATGGCAGCAGGCCACAGCCTCCACACTCCAAAGAGATGTGACATTATTCTCAAGTCACATTACCTTCTCGACTAATTCCCGGAAGCAGCTGAGTTAGCGGTTTGTGTGGCTCAGTCATGTCGTTTCTAATGTAAACTGGAATCACACTGAGAAGCTCCTGACGATCTTCCTCATGCACAACAGGAATAGATTCTAAGATGAGCTGCATCTGTTCAAGTTCGTGTGCACCTGAGTGAAATCAAGACACCACAGTGTAAACAGGTCACCCACGGTGCCCACTTTCCCGGCAATAAAGACACCCACAGGTTCTTTGATAGTCTCCCTTGAAGTCAACACCTCTCTGCACTGAGTCTGAGCTGTCCTTGGTGACCTGCTTTTACGAATGAGACTGAAATGACAGTGTATAAGTTCTGAGGAAAATCACAAGGTAGTTCATGTTTACGGTCAGCTTTTTTTTTTTTTTTTTTTTTAAATAAAGGTGGCTTACTATTCAATTTGTAAACGAAAACTTCTTCACCAGATGGTTCAAGGACAACTGGACATCCACAAGCAAAGTAATGAAATTGGACCCCTGCCCTCATATCACACACATAAATCACCCAAAACAAATCCTGATCTAAATGTAAAAAGCTAAAACTATAAAATGCTTGGAAGTAAATATTGTGGAGAATGGTTTCTCAGATATGATATGCTAACACAAAAGACAGATCAGTTGGCCTTCAACAGAACTAAACGTTCTGTGCTTCAAAAGGCACTGTCGTAAAAGGAAAAGACATCCTGCACACAGCCTGGGACAAAATATAATAAACTCTATCTGATAGACCCGTGTCCATGGTGTGTAAAGACTTCTTAAAAACACAAAAGACAATCCAGTTAAAAGCAAACAAATGATCTGGGTACTCTACAAAGAAGATATTAAAAATAAGAGACTACGCATGGTGGCTCCCACTTGTGATTCTAGCAGCCAGGAGGCTGAGGCAGGAGGACTGTCTCATGAGTTCATGGTTCACTTGAACTTGTAAGAGTCTACACTAACAAATACGAGGTCAGTAAGCACATCGAGACACCCTTTTTTCACACCCACCAGGATGATCACATTCAACAAAGACACAACAAACCTTGAAAGCGCTGGTGATAATGTGAACAGAACCTTCCTTCTTAGTTGACTGGGGAATGTACAACACACAGCTGCTTTAGAAAACTGTCTAGTCTCCAAAAATTCAACCTAAGTTACCCTGGGTCACCTAGTTATTTATGCCTGGGCATGTAGACCGAAGAGAACTGAAAACACCTCACATAAAAACTGATACACAAACGTTCACAGCAGCATTGTTCATAAGGGCCAAAAAGTAAAAACCAAGACATCCACCAACTGATGAATGGAAACTAAATGAGGCCTCTCTATCTGGCATATGCTGAGTCAAACACAGATAATCCGCAACATGAATGAACCTCTAAAACACTGACGAGAAAGCAGCCTGTCACAGAGCCCGATACATGGCTCCATGCACGTGAAGTGCACAACAGGCAATCCACAGAAAGTGGATGAGTGGGTACAGGAGCTGGGGAAAGGAATAACGACTATCACAGGGCTGGCTTCAGAAGGATGGGGATGCTCTAGAATGGGCATAACCCATACATTTACGAACATTCCCAATGACACACTTCATTTTCTGCAGTGCTAGGCTTTGAACCAGAGGCTCCATGAATGCCAGGCAGGCACTCTAACATCCAGCCACATCTCCAGCTGAAACACAGCCTCTGAGTGAACTGTATGGTATGCGAACGAAGATGGTTTTCTTAAAACACTGGCTTTTTCCTTGGTCTTTTAACGGATAAAAAGTTTCCACCTGTGAGGATACCCCCACTGTCCACAGGAAACCTGGAGAAGGGGACAACAGAACTCTGGAGGATTTTCAACAATAAATTTACCAGGAAATGACTAATGCAATTCAGATATGACTTAACACAGATCACCAACAAAGAGTATGGATCCTCAAAACACTGAGGTTTAGAAATAAACTGGCAATAACAGAACACTAGAGTTCTAACTAACCGTTAGAGCAATTTCATGAATATGTGAATAATGGTGTCCTCATTTCTTAAGTAATATAAACACTGTTTTATCTTTGCATTGGAATATTCCAGACTATATTAAGCTCTTTGAAATCTTACATAACCTTGCCTTAGAGATAAATGCAAAATGACTTCTGGTACAATTCTCCCCACATGATACTGACCTGCAAAGAGGGTTTTACCAGTCAACATTTCAGCAAAGATACAGCCTGCAGCCCACATGTCAATGGCTTTAGTATAATTATTAGGAGAAAGTAAAAGTCGTGGAGATCTGTACCATTTGGTAACCAATCCTTCAGAAAGATGACCCTGCAAAGGAAACACCAAACAGACTTCAATTTCCCTTACTTTATGGGGTAGGAGGATACTCATCCTCCAAAAAAAGCCGTAAAATTCTCAATTACTGTTGATTTCTAAGCCCATTTTCAAGGCTCTTACCATCTAGATGCTGCAACCATCACTTAAGAGATGGACATGCCATCTCTCAGATGACTGTCACAAAAAGTGCAGAACAAGACATCATAAGGCCTTAATGCCAACTCTAGGCCAAGTGCAGCTTGTTTCAGAAGAGAAACAAGTTCTCCCTCCAAGTTTTAACATAATTAAGGAGCAGGCATGCTATGCCTGGATCAGAGGGAAGGTGGGGGAAAGAGCTGCAGCTCCTAGTTATTACACACACAAATCCCCCCCCACACACACACACACTCCACTCCTAACCGATGTCCACATAGTCATGCTCCACCCTCAGAACAACACAGACACTGTACTGGTGGACACTGATTTGCAGGTCAGAGCACTGGGCAGATCATGGGTCTGCTTAAGGACACACCTAGGTGACTCCAGGGACGTCAAGTAAAGGTCTAGGTGTGGCTCCTTCCAGTGTTCTGTCCACACCTCACTGTGCTCAGCAGGGACTCAGCCTCTATGTTAAAAGTTGTTCATTAATCTATGTGGGTGAGGGAGGAGAGAGGGAGAGCCAGCAACCACCCACCACAGTGCAAGTGTCCAGGTCAGAGAACAGCTTGGGAGAATCCATTCTCTTCTACGGTCCGGGTTCCAGGGTCTGAATTAGGTTATCAGGCTTGCTGCAAGGAACCTTTCTGCTGAGTCATCTTGCCGCCTCCCTCCCCCTTTTTGTGAATGGAGTGAAGACCATCAGTTAAGACAACACGCACAGCAAGCATGAAGATTTGTTTCAGACATGGGCTATGGAATGCCAAGTAACAGAACCTGCTCTCAGGGGTTCTCTGTCACCAAATCAGCTCTAACTCTATATTTGATTTACTTTACTGAGACAGAGTCTCCCAGTGTTGCCCTAGTTGGCCTGGAACTGTGTAGACCAGAATGGCCTTGGCTTACACGGGTTTACCTGTCTCTGTCCCCTGAGCACTGGAATTAAAGGTATGCACAACCATACCCAGCACACTTTTATATTTTCTTTCTTTCTTTCACTTTTATATTTTAAACATCAAGATTCTACCTAAGATTTCAATTTAAAATCAAAAGGCCCAAGTTCTCCCTGGAAGATGTTATTAAGTTCTTATATGAAAAAAAGTTGCTTATAAAGGGAAGCTGCTATGAAGTGAACCTTTTTGGCTGTACTTAATTGCCAGCTGTTCATGCAAATTTAAATTTTTAAACTAAATTCCATTTAAATGAGGTATAACTACAGTACAGTATAGAACAGTATAGAATAGTATAGCAGCATCAAAAGGACAGATAACTTAAAAACTGGGAAAGCTGCTCCGCTCACCTTCAAATAGGACGCCAGATCCAAACATAAAATGTGTTCTACTTTGAAATAACTAAATAAACAAGAATCTTAATTACAATAAATAACTATGTGGCAGCACATGCTTAGAATCCCAGTATTTAGGAGGCTGCAGATAGTGAGTTTGAGGTTTGCCCAGACCATACACTAGAGTCCAGGCAGCCTGGTTACACAAACAAGAGTCAGTCTCAAAAAAACAAAAACAAAAACAAAAACAAAAAAGGCCAGGCCATGGTGGCACATACCTTTAGTCCTAGCACTTGGGAAGCAAAGGCAGATGGATCTCTATAAGTTCGAGGCTAGCCTTATCTTACAGAGCTAGTTCCAGGTCAGCCAAAACTACACAAAGAAATCCTGTCTCAAAAAAAACAAAACAAAAAAGATGTACATCTCAGAACTTCATTACTAACAAACAGCCATGCATTCTGAGGAAGTTGTATGGACCTGGGAGTCCACGTCACCTTCAGTTCACACCCTGGAGATTATGAATGAAAGCAGAGCTGCGTCAGGAAAAGACATCCCAGTTTAGAAGTTGGGTGGAGAGAGCTTTCTACATACCTTATGGGAATAATGAGGATCCATGATCCGTGCCAAACCAAAGTCACCTATCTTCAGCACCAAGTCTTCAGTGTTAATGAAAAGATTAGCTGGC